TATTTTTCATTGCTTTTTCGCAAGAAAAGGGGTTCAGGTGTGGCATATCGAATTAGCAGGCGATGTTTGATTCAGAATCTTATTCAGAGGCTGGTTCTGATGGGGATTACAAGAGGGGTTGGTCGTGCTTGCAGATCGGTGGGCAATTCCACGATGACCGGATGAAAGAACTCCAGCAGGTCAAGGAGGCGGCTTGGTGCTTTTGCATTGGGTGAACATTTTGATCGGTCTACGGCAACGGTGATTGAATGGTTGTCGTCAACCTTTCAGCAGCTTAGAAAACTTCAATAGCCCGGTAGAATGGACATATTTTCATTCTCTACAAAGGCTCAGGGCGGAGTGATAGAGCGTCATGGACACCCTTTCGCAATTGATGTTTCAGCTGCCCAACCGATGCTCCCGGAATTATGAATGCACGCTTGATGCTTGTGACAGGCCTTGCTTGGGATGCTGGCTGAGAAATCACCACCGGGTGGGAAGAACTACAACTTCTACATGTCCACGGTGATGGCCTGAGCTATGCTGGGGCTGATACTGAGCATAGACAAGGTTACCGGGGCATGCACCTGACTGCGTCAAATCTCATCTTGGAAGTTTCACCACTTGACAATCACATGACCTGGGGTATTCTGGTGTTTCAATCTTTGCTGCAGTGGCTTTCCAAACCGAGATACTGTGTTCTGCTGCTCTAGCTATCAGTGTGCATCTCTCCGCGCTTCGAACATGCCCAGGTGGTCCACATGGTCAACGTCACCATGCGGGCCTCTCTTCAAGAGCAATTCTTGGCCGATCAGGCTCCCACTTCTTCTTCGTTGACCAGTCGAGTTGGTGCTGCAAAACTGGGGACTGGAAAGCTGGAACTTTGGTTCATCACTGATTATGCTGAAACAATCACCGCGAGCTGCAGGCCCTTGCTGAAGAGGCTTTCAAGCAGTTTGAGACCTGCCGGAACACCTTCGTGACAGGCATAGGGCTTCACGGGGTTGAAGATGGCTATACATGTTATACACTGTTTCGAGCAATGTGCAAATGTTAACCCCAAAGAAGAGCCTAGCATCCTCAGAGCCAGCCGTTTCAATGCAGACCTTCTCTAGGTCTTGCTTGGCCAAATGCCGTTAGAGGCCCAGAGTGCTAGAAAGGCCTACTGTCGTTTTGTGAATCTTCCATCTTCCGAGAAGGATGTATGCAGTCATGCAGTCACGTAATGAATTGAGCCTCTTGATGCCTCTGTGTGAACTTTCAGCCAAGTCACGTGGATGTTTACTCAGCTTTGACTTGATTGATTGGTTTGGTTTTCCTCATCAAAAAGCGCACAGTGCTTGGGCAATCAGTGCAAAACTCTACAATCTATTGTATATCCAAATATAGTTTCCACGAGAGTAGTCCTGCAGGCTGTTAAGAGATTGGGGGTTCAGCTCACACGTTCACTCCACGTTGAGCCTTCACACCACTGAGATCTTAGAGGGTGGTGACTACGGTGACCAGACGTACAGAGCCTCGGCTGCATCCATTGTCGGAGCCGACGAGGTGTCGTGGCTCATAGACCTCAGTTTCAGTGATTGCCTTGTGAGGTGTGAGGGGAAAAGGATAAACACAAGTTGCTGACGAATTGTCACGTTCTTATTTTTACTTTTTAAATACATGTATATAAATATAATCTTTCTTTCAAGCTCGACTGAGCCAACAATCATGTTGTCATGAAGTTGAGCCAAAAGATGTCATTGCAGTCCAAACGAAGACCAATTAACACCCAACCACCAAATGGTCATCATGAATTCTACTCCCCATTGACCAGTTGAGGTGGCCTCGCTGTCGCTAAGAAGACGCACAACGACTGCCGTGAAATCCAGGTCTCGAGAGCAAGTTGCAGAATCTCAGACTCAGAGTTCAACATTTTGGTTCTTTGATAGGTGAGATGCACTGTGTCTTTCGGCCGAGACGCATGATTTACAAACTGCATGCAGAATTGACAGACAACGAAAGGATTTTTTTTCATATTTTTTCTATAAGATTTTCCGTCCGAGTGTCTCGAATTGAAGGAGCACCACGATGCCTCAAAGCGGGGCCAAATCTAGACCTCGGTGTTTTTACGCTTTGGCCAAGTAATTTTGAACAGAAAATAGACAAATCCCCGATCAACAGCCGGTTGATGCTCACAAGTTCCACTATTTTCAACACACCAAAAGGTGCCTGGAAGCTGTGGGGGTTCATCACGAAAGGTAGCCCTTTAGGGGATACCTTGAGTTTGTCTTGCGAAGCAAGTGTTGGGACGTCTGGGTCTAATAATTGATCACTCAATTCAACCCCCCCCCTCGAATTGATTTCTCAATACAGACCCCCCCTCCCCGCCCCCTTGGAATTGATTTTTCAATACAGACCCCCCCCCCTCTAAATTCAATTCTCTCCTGGAGAACGTCTTCGTGAGCCTCTCCCTCTTGAACATTCAGAAAGAGTGCATATGAAATTCTAATCACGAAAGGTGTTCCCCGAGGGGATACATACCTAGAGTTTGTTTTGTGAAGCACGTCAATTCTCTCCTGGGGGGCGTCTTCGTGAGCCTCTTATGGTTTCAGGATAGTTCAAATCCTATGATGCTCCGATTCAATGCTCACCGATGATCTGAGCCATGGGGCAAGTTTGTTTTCCTAAGAATCTTTTTGAACATTTCGAGAGCATATGTTTGAACATTTAGAGTGCATATGAACATATATTTACGAAAGGTCGCCTCCGAGGGGATAAATCACCATGTCGAACATTGCATTTTTGTTCCTGCCTCTCGCGTTCTCTTCTCTTCCCGCTGTCCTACCTTTCGTGTCTCCCTCCTCTCAAGTTTTCTTATCATTAAACATTACTTCTGGATGGCAAGACTTGGATGATGTCAAACTTTTGTAGTGAGTGTGGTTGGAAGCACCGAAGCACCTAAATGTACAGTGCAAGGAAGGGTCCGGTTGGTCGTCATTTAGAGATCAAGTTAGCAAAATCAGAATGATGAGAGAGAGAGAGAGAGAGCGAGCGAGTTAGCATCACGGAAAAGCCCCTGCTCCCTTCTGACTGAATTCCAAGCTGGTCCACTTTGCTGCGAACTCACGTTCATTTTTTTCAACACCTGTTCAATAAAGAGTTCTATATGGACATCTGGACAACGCAGGATGACAGTCACTCAGATCCGGACAGACGCAGCCCTGTGATTGTCGCCCTGTGATCGAAGCGCATCGGGCAGAATCAAAAGAAGCAGCTCTACGATGCCTGTGTGGATGACGAGAGGATCAGGCGCAGCGACAGGGCGAGGATTATGTGTGGTTGGTGCAAGAGGGCCCACGTCACAAAATTCAATTGCGTGCTCGACATGTCTTTGCTTGCCCATGGCAAAGAGTTTTTCCTTTCGTTGGGAATAGAAAAAGTGTTCTTTCCCACAGCCCCACAGGCCACATTTTGGTGACTTTTCCACTGTCTCAGGTGGGAGACTGTCCGCGCAGCCTGCGACCACAGCTTTGTGAAGTTCTACAACTCAGTGTGGCTTGGATAAATTAGTGCTGGGAAGGCGATTGGCTCACAAAGGTTAGGATTGTCAAACTGGCTGCTTAGTCTCTTAATCTCTCTATTCTATCTCTGCCTCTCTCTCTCTCTCTTAAACAGAAGAGTATCAGAGATAGCTGGAAGGGGTGGTTTGGCTCACTGGGCTCCTAGTTTTGTATTTTGTTCGTGAAGCTTTCCAGACACATAGAGAGGGTTCAGAGAGAGAGAGAGAGAGAGCGAGAGAGAAGGTGATCTTCTTGGCAACTAATCAGATTTGATGGATATGATATGCGGCTTACCGGCTTACCGTGTTTTCCCCAAGTTTCTATGGTGTTTGCCGCGACAAGGTCAGGCTTCCCATTCGAAAAGATCCGTTAACTGACAGTAGTTGTCCACACTCTCGTTCCGGCCAAGGTCTTCCCACTCCACCGGAGCTTGGTGCGGCCTCCCGATTGCGGGCCTGTGAGATTGTCCAAAATTCTATTCCTGGGATTTGCCATTGATTTCTTGAGTGTGTAGTCTGGGGGTGTTAAAGCTAGGAGAATCTCGGTTGAAGGCAATTGAAGCAGTGGTAGCCGATATTTTTTGAATCTTAGATCTTACCTACAAACAGAGCCCGGGTCACCTAGAGCGAAACAGTCATTCTTATTCGTTCTGACTTTTCCTGGCCGCAAATGTCTTCCCCCTGAGCTGTTCTTCCATCCACCCCATTTGCTGTTCTCAGGGCGAAGCAGTGCGACACCCAGCTGGAGGTCTTTTCCAATACGGCCTGGCACCAAAGTCGGTCACGAGCAGCATTTCATGCAACACATGATTGAATATTATGTAGTGCTTTGGCTGGCTTGCTGGGACATAGGAAGGCATCAATGGAACTGATCAAACCTTCAAACTCTTCTGGTAGAGAAGGCTTCTTTGTCCCTTTGGGCAATGTTGATTAAGATGAAGCTATTTGCGAGCAGTATGTGAAGACCACAGGCAAACTATTGCATTGATCGTAGTTGAATCTGAATGTTGGATTGGAAAGACCACCCTCTTGTCTGCAGTTGCCGGATGCGGACCCAAGCGGCCTTGTCGACCTGGGTGACACGGTACGGACTCCCGGAATGGTTTGCCGAGTGAGGAAGATAGTGAAGATACCCAGTGGTCAAAGGCAAAGGATTTAGCTATTGCGAATTCTCCCACCCATGGATGCATGTTACGCGGATGGTTACTACAAGCTAGAGAATCGACATGCGAGAACAGGAGGAGCACACAGTGCCAAGGCTTTCCTTGACAACCGAAGCACATTGTCAGTCTGCCAGAAGTATCCATTGGCTCGAGCAGAATGTACACACTGTAGAGTGCAAGTCTTCTCGTATTGCGGTGTCTTGCATCAGGCTCGTGTCGATTGAATCAATCCAACGTGATTATGTATGCTGATGCAGTGAAATTAACACAGCCACTTGTTGAACGTCCCTCGATGCAAAGTAAGATCAGTGCGTGGCAAACATGAAAGCTTTGGGTTCACAGCCACACATAGGATGTGTGAGCAATGTCCTTTCCTTTGCCACCCCGACTCCGGCGTCGCATCACAGACTTCGAAGTTTCCAAGGAGGTCTTGGGCGATGGTTCTTTGGCCGTTGTCCGCAGAGCCACGGAAATCGCCTCAGGCAAAAGCTTTGCGTTGAAGGCGTTTGACCGAAATCTCCTTCGATCCAATCACCGTGATGCTGACGTGGCCATGGAGGAACATTGCCTTCGGAGAGCCAACCACCCAGGAATCATAAAGCTACATGCTTCCTTCAGAGATGACAGCTTCCATTACCTTGTCTTGGATCACTGCCCAGGGGGTGAACTTTGGGAAATGGTTCGCAACGTGGGCTGCGAAGAGCATCTTGCTAGGCACTATCTAGCGCAGATCCTGGAAGTGGTTCAGTATCTTCGAGACGCACAGATTGTCCATCGAGATTTGAAGGCTGAGAATGTGTTGCTCGGTCCTCAAGGCAATTGCAAGTTGATTGACTTTGGCAGTGCCAAGGATTTGGCAAATCCTCACATCAAAGGAGCTGGACTTCACAATTGGGATACTGTTCTGCATGAGACTGTAGGGACCCCTTACTTCATGGCTCCAGAAGTTGTTCGTAACAAATGCTCTGACTTCCGCTCAGACACCTGGTCCTTGGGCTGCTTGGTGTTTCAAGTCCTCACTGGACTGCTACCTTTCTATGGTGGATCAGTGTGTCGTGTGTATAAAAAGATTTGCCGCACGGAGCTGGAATTGGACTTGCCGGAGACCTGGCTTGGGAGCAGTGCCACGGACCTTATCAAGCGTATGGTGGTCAAGGATCCCGATACAAGATTGGGCAACGATCTTCGGAGCTTGGAGGAACATTCCTTCTTTGGCATTACTTTTGCAGGTGCACATGGAAGATCAGCCCCTATCCGCACATTGGAGGAAATGTGCATTCGCCACATTGGCAGACGGTGGAAGACCTGTCTTGATGCTTTACCCTTTGCCCAGAAGGCAGTCGAGAGGGCGCTCCTGAGACCCGAAGCACTCCGAATCTTGCAGCGTATTTCGGAGGTTCACGATCTAGTCGCCGGCCAGGCTGACGAGGGTGAGACCTCAGCTTCGGAAGATTGAGGGCGTTTGCTGATGGGTCACAACTCCCAAAAAGAAGTCATGCGCAAGATGGGGATCACAATTCTCAAGCATTTGCCATCCGCAAACTGTGTATTGATCCACCGCTTCAGTGTGACAGCCTTTTGTAAGCCAAATTGACCACCTCGTGTCTCCCGCAAGCCAATCTTTTTGAGCAGACGCTATAGCTTCACGATGCTTGCTTTGGATGTGAAGCCTTGGAGAGAAATCGTGAAGAGGGAAGCCGTGCAGAACCAGAAGTCAATTCTTTCGTGAACTGGTGATACTCCAGATAGCATGCTCACTATCCGATACAAAGAGAACCATGACAATAATTGAAAGAAAAAAATATATATAGACAATGAACTATCAGAGGGGGTAAGTAAGTCTTGGAGGCCGCACCACGGACATTTGGAATTGCAACACAGTTTCTCTGTAGTACACCCTTCAAGGACACTGAGGGGTACCTCATGGCCGGGAACCGAGCTCTACAGTATGCAGAATCTTCCGGCTGATGTGGCTCTTTCGAGAGTCGTGCAACAATCCTAAGAGCGATGACCTCCAACCCAATAGCGATGGCCTCCAACCTAGTAGCAATGGCCTCCAACCTGATGGTGTTTCCCCGGATTCGATTTGTTTAGTTGCAAAGCTTTATCCATGTGCAGGCGCTGGACCTCTTTCTTGAACCCCACGGGGCTTGTGAGGCTCAGTTCAACTACTGGGACAAGAAGCTAGAGGACTTCCTCAAGGCAGAGGCCGGAAAAATATCATCGCGAGCCATGTTATGTATGTCTTCATTCAGAGTCTCTTCAAGTCTCCAGAGCCCGTGTTGTCTATCTCATATCAGTACGACTACAGTGTACATTATAGAACTCTATATCCACACAACGCAGGAGAACTGGACTTTGTACTCCCTTCTCTAACTTGCAGGCAATTTGCAAGAATGCCACCGCCAAAGCAGAGGCGGGAGGGTGAACGAACCAGTCTTTGCCTCTTTCAGCCTCTTTGAAGGTGCATATTTATACCCATTGACACATTCTGACAAAGAGCAAAAAAAGAATGGGCTCATCGATCTATGCTGCTCCTGTTGGCCAAGCAGTTAAACAGCATCCGATCTGGGGATCATGGATGACGCGTTGGTCGCGTCACGAGAGCGCTTTTGGAGCGTCACGGACGACGCAGAGGCTGAGAAAAAAGACTGCAGTGGGAAGCTAGAGGCGGGTGCAAAACACTGCGCAGACCGGGTGAAACACTGCGCAGACGGAGGTTGAAGCGTTGATTCGATGCAACACACTGCTTTTTCTGTCCAAATTTGTTTAGGGTTCTTCGCTTTTTTTGGTGTCGGCGTTTTGCAGAAAGGAGGATATGATATACTTTATCGAACGTTTGAACGGCACACCGCCATGTTCTTGCAGACCGCCTCACACACAAAGTCTTGTTTGTTGATGATAGCCATAAACCTCTACGTTCACATGATTCTGATTGGCGACTACCAAGGCCTACAATAAAGCCAACAAGGATTGTGACATGCGTCAGGCGAGCCTCCGGCGAGCCTTGCTAGTTGTTCTCTCGTTGTTTGTTTGTCTTCTTTTTGAGGAAGAAAAAGATAGGCCGTAGGCGCCGTAAGCCAGGTAAGCCAGGCAAGCTTAAGAAGTGAGTTAAACAGGTAAGTTAAGTGAGCAAGCGAGTATCTTGAAAGCTTCCTAGTATGGATCAAGGGCTAGGCTCAGGCTTCCTTGAAACCTGAGCATCTTCCTGTAATGATTTGCTTTTAGTTTTTCACTTAATTTGGGACACTTAATGAGTATATATATATATATATAGACCTAAAATATTCTAAAAGTGCCTCTCAGTGCAACGCACAACCTTGCAGGATGGCCTAGATGCCCTCGCATGCCAACAAGCCTTGAGCAGACACACTCGATGTTCCGATTACGACTGGTGCCTTGGAAGACATTCGGAGTATGTTCTGCCGAGGCTCTAGCAGAGATAGGGATTCGAGCACGTGTTGAACTTTATTCTTGGGTGGCTTGTTGTTTTTCAATGATACTTTTCGTCCATTTCTGATTTCGGATTGCGTCTTCCAGCTGGGCTGGCCAGCTGCTTCCTTACTTCTGGAACAGCTGGCAAGCCGAAAGTGATCCACGCGATGTCTGCCAACTCAGGTGCTATGGGACGGCTGAAAATGACTGGAACCTTGCCAATGGGTGGATGTGCTGGTGGGCAGTCCAACGTTTCCTTCTTTTTGTGGGATGAGAGTTTCGGCGCAGGGCTCACTCGCAGATTGGCCTTTGTCTTTTCTGAACTTTGTCTTGGAGGTGATGTTGCAGTAGAGTAGAGTCGAGTAAACACTGTGAGGGTCGTTTGTGAGTGTAGTTTGGAGGTAGCAGTTTGGCAGAGAGCATGATGGGGTGCCTCACAGGGTAATAGCTGAAGATGCCAAGGCAACCTTCTCAACTCTTTAACTTCTAAAGTCAGCATTGCCTCCCCTTGAAGTTGTCTAAGGAGAACTATGAAGCAGTCAATGTGCGGCCCAAGCGGGAAGGAAGGCGTCGGAGGATCCCAGCCTTGTATTGTTTCCTGCTTTCTGGAAGGATGCCTCATGGGGTGGAGAAATGGGGATTATATGAACGGGCCGGCCCGCTAGGCTCAAAACTGAAAGTGACGAACAGTCAGTGAGTGGTCATGGGATTTCATTCCTGCATGTTTGCTCCCAAAACAGCGTGACGGATGTGAATACGATAGTACACTTATTAAATCCTGATGAGAACTCCACAACAAATTTTGACTGTCGCTGATATCAGCCGAGACTGCCAGGATACTGGTTTCGAGGTGCTTTGTAATGAGAAAGTCTAGTTTTCTAGTTGCTAACAAGGCAAGATCAACAGCCTTTTCCTTCATGCAAATTTAGTTTGCTTGCGGGCATGACCCATGGATTTACCTGCAGTCCAGCTTGGGTGGGTGTCT